ATTTGACATGAACACGACAAACACACTTTCTTGACAATCTTTGTGAGTAAAAAAAACATGTAGAAACAAAAACGAACAGCGTGTGTTATTAGGGAAATAGCGAGCGACAAGCGTTGATGCAGGATTGCGCGCGCATGCGCCGTGAGTGGTTCTGATACTTTTTGGGTCGCAGCTGCTCGCAGCGCCGCTTCAACAGTGCGATACCCTCACGAGGGACGAGCGAAATATTAAACACACCAGAGTGCGACCTCACGACTGCTGATCGGCGGCTGGTCACGTGGTGTTAATCGCCTCTCGTAACCCCCTGTACACTACACGACCGCTCGGCGCAAAACTCGCCCCGATGTCGTGGCTTCTCGCACGACTGGAAAATCGGCTCAAAAAAGTGAAAAAGTCGCACAGTGTACGCCCGGCTGTGACAGCCTCTCCCATTTCAATCCCAGAGTGTCCGTGCACGCATTTACCTCTGTAAAAAGATCACTCCCTGTCGTTGTCCCTCTCATCGACCGCATTGCTGCCCGCTCCTCTGTGAGCTTGAAGTCCGTTATCCCCCGGACAAATACGAGCAGCTGGGCTGTGTCGCGGACATCACAGCTCCCGTCTAATGAGAAAAAGTCAAAACTTGCCACTTCACGTTGCAGCTGAAGCTCCAGGTTCCCCGCAATGTCCTCGATCCTCCTGGTCACGGTTCGCTGTTTTTAGCTATTTTGTGGGATATCACAAAGCTGGTCCTGGTTGCTGCATCCCTGGATGTGTGAAGCTTAGTAAAAAAGCCTTGCTGCTTTTGCAACTTTGCTAGCAAAGCTTCGGATGTCCGTGCCCTCTCAGCATCAGACAAGTTCTTGTATTTTTCCGAGTGTTTCTTGTCGTAATTCCGACTCAAATTGTAGTCCTTAAACACGGCAATCTCCTCCCCGCAAACCAAACACACGGTTTTACCTCCGACTTCAGTAAAAAAAATACTTAGCAGTCCAATTTTTGTTGAAAATCCTGCATTCGGCATCTTTCTTTTTTTTTTTTTTTTTTTGCATGAGCGGACATTTCTCAGGCTACAATCACCATGTCAACCGCGGGCACTTGTTGCTATACGTATTGCGTCATTGTGCACGTAAAATACAACTTCAAAATAAAAGCAATGCAGCCTTAGCCCATGCATGAGGTAAAATGAGAAAATACATTTATTTTGTAATTTCCAATTAACCTTACGCGGGCCGGTCAAAGTCAACCAAAGGGCCGGATGTGGCCCGCGGGCCGTAAAATGCCCAGGTCTGCTTTAGATGATTAAAAATTCAATGTAGGTCTATCTTTTATAACTACAGGATCCTGAGATACTATGTTTTTCTACAGAAAAACATATTTGTCCCATCAACACAAGTTTAAAATAAATCCAAAGGAAATTTGGATTTCCCAGCTTCCACCGAGCGTTCAAATGAACCATGTACGCACAAATCAAGTCAGGTGGGAAAATAGTCTCAAAAGGATTTTTGTACTTGTAAACTGATCTGTGTGTAATGTAGTTTTGTCCGTGTGTACCAGGTGATTTGTGTGTGCGTACTCAATGATTTGTATGTGTATTCAATGATTTGTACGTGTAAGAGCTGAAGTTACACACCAAAATGTAAACACAAGTTACAAATCAAGAGTTACACACACACACACAAATATAGACACACATGCACAGATTTAGATACACACGGACAGATCTTTTGAAACTTTTTTCCCCCCGTACTGAGCCAACTCACCACCAGGTAGTGGTCAGTTGACAGCTCCGCCCCTCTCTTCACCCGAGTGTCCAAAACATGCGGCCGCAGGTCAGACGAAACAACAAAAAAGTCGATCATCGAGCTGCGGCCTAAGGTATCCTGGTGCCAAGAGCACATATGGACACCTTTACACATGGTGTTCATAATGGACAATCCATGACTGGCACAGAAGTCTAATAACAAAACACCACTCGAATTCAGATCAGGGGGGCCGTTCCTCCCAACCACACCTCTCCAGGTCTCACTGTCATTGCCCCGTGTGATGTGTCTGTGTGCAAATGTCTTGTGCTTATTTTTCTACAGCTGCAGAGTATTATGAGATAAATCATTAAAAAATGTCAACGTTCACCCAAGGGCACAAAACAATGAACATGTTGGTCATAACAGCCCAGATGATACAAAAGCTGTTCAACAGTTTTTGAAGCTATTGTGGCACTAGGGAAATATGGCTTTTGATTCTTCAATATTATACCACTTTTGAAATTATTGCAGGTTTGTTGGTGACTAAAATGCAGAGGGTAGTTTCAACATTAATTCAAGGGCCTGAACATGCTGACGTGAACGCAAGTATGATTTCATGGTGCTTATTATGTGTTTTCTGGACTGCTTTAACCTTGTACCAGAGATTAACCTCAAACCGAAAAACTTAACTCAAACTTCTTATTCCTTTGGCAAGCCAAGAGCCAAGGTGGAGTTTTAGCAGGGAAAAGATGCACTTGAAACACTGCAATTTTACTTACTGTATTTTCCGGACTATAAGTCACACATTTTCATAGTCTGGCTGGTCCTGTGACTTGTATACCAAAGTGACTTTTATACCAAATTATGTATACCACGCTGCTGCGGGCCGGCTCCAGTCCAGGTTTCAGCTCCTCTGCCCCGCTGCAGCCTGTGGCGGAGTGCTGCGGGCACTCTCCCCGCCCGCTGGGAGGGTTTGAAATAGGGATGTCCTGATCCGATCACATGATCGGAAATAGGCCACGATCACGTGGTTTTAGACTGATCGGGACTCGGGCTTTACTTCCCGATCCAAGCCCCAATCCGGAGTTGGATACTGGGTTCAAATTACAGGAGAGCAACTTGGTTCTCCTTAAAGGTTGTCAGGCTCCCCTGATGCCCTTAACTTACACATCCAGAAGGAGCACAAATGAGATCCAGTTTCTACCCATATTATATTATTTATATGGACTCAGAGTAGCGGGGATTCTTTTGAGCAGAGATGCAGAGAGCTGCAGGCAGACTGCTGATTATTCATGAACTCAAGCTGCATTCTGCACACGGTCACAGTAACATTTTCTGTTTCTAGTGGTGTCACCAAAAAATATATAATTAACACACAGTCATTCGTGTCCGTTCATTTTCTCTCTCGTAAGTTCTGTCTGTATTTGAGCATGACGTGTGGATGCACGCGCTCACGCTACCCCGGCTGCAGCGCTCGTCACTGGCGCAGCCGGGCAGCGCAGCGCACACTCCGCTTTTTTGCGGTCAATAGATCAATTTGTTCTGCTAGTTAAAAAGTTACTTGTGAGGTGAAAAGAAGGAAGCAGGCAGGAGTTTTTCTGGAGGACTGGGAGATGCAGGAAGATCAGAGACAGACAGGACAGGAAGATAGGAAAATAAAACCCAAAAAACCAAAACAAAGTTCTTGAAAAAAATAAAATGTAGGTAGACTGATCTCACTACACGTTTGTACCTGTATAAAGCAATAATTTATCAGCATGTAGTATTTATATAGTTGATACAATTCAGATCATCTTCTGATGGGCTGCATGGTGGCACAGTTGTTAGCACTGTTGCCTCGCAGCACGAAGGTTGCAGGTTCGAAACTCGGCAAACTGCTTGGTGAAAAGGCAACGCCTGTTTGCCCAATTATTAGAAAATGGAATAAACTCAAAACGAATGTAAGTCCTCCCCAGAATGAGGCTCCATGCAAGATTCGGCCTGCTGGAGTATCGATGATCATAAAAAAGTGAGGGATGAAAACCATATTAAAAGACCTGGTTAATGAACATAATGAGAACTGGGACCATAGTTATCACAGGTGACCATAAGCAACACACTACACTGTCGTGGATTAAAATTCTGCAGTGCACTCATAACCCCCTGCGGAAGCCAGCACTTATCTAGACTCATCACAAATTGTCAGTGACCATCAGGATTACCTAGAGCAGGGGTCACCAACTGTGGTCCTCGAGGGCTACTACTGGCTGTGCAGCGCACCATGTTAAAGACCAAAGGAGACAGATCATTTGCTGCTGTGGCCCCCATACTCTGGAAGTCTCTTCTCACGAGCTTGAGACCAGTGGACTCAGTGGTCTCCTTTAAAAAGCGGCTGAAAACTCACTTGTTCAAGCTGGCTTTTGCGTGACTTTCATCACCACCCTCTCCTTATTCTGCTCTTTCTACCAACTCTGCCTTTCCTGCGATCCCCTGATTTCCCTCTTTCCTATTCATTTTCTCTAACGAGCAGAATGTCCGCCCTCTATGTGGTTGTTGCTTTTTTGTCAGGTTTATAGAAAATCATAGGCCTTGGCGATAAATCAATTTAATGAATGAATTCGAATTTTTTGTTGCGGGTGATTAAAAAATAAAGTAAATCAGATTTTTATGTAATAGCGCCTTTTTGGCCTCCCAGAGCTTCCATAGCGTTAGTTTCACATAACTGCGACAACGTCACAGCACGCACACGAAACAGCAACAGCAAGCGACTTCATGGCCACCGGTGAGAGTGGGAAGTTTGTTCCTAAGAAAGGAATGAAATCATCCGTTGTTTGGAACTGGTTTGGGTTTGCTGCGACGGACGTGGAGAGTGGCACTTTTTTATTCCAAGAGGGTGTTCATTCATTCCTTATTCATCTCAGAAATGAGGGTTATATTTGTCTTGCTTGTGATTAAATAAATACTTAATTGGCTTTAAGGTGCCTTCCATTTGTACTTATTGCTATTCTTAATAATTGAAGAGGAGAGAGAGAATCGGAAAATAATCGTAAATCGAATAAAAAAATATAAAATCTGAGATTTTATTCTTAGGCCGTATCGTCCAGCCCTCGAAAATCATCAAGAAGATTCAGTATAAGCCCATTGCAGATCAGGATCACATTCATTAAAAACGTCTAAACAAAGCATTGACCTGGTATTCTGAGCTCTCGTGTTTCTGTGTTTATTTTACAGCATGTTGGATGAGGATGATCTTTCATAAACATGATCTCACACACTTGCCTTTCTCTATCCGGCCAGGGAAGATGCACGTGACTCTGGCAGAAGCCTTGCAGGTTCGAGGAGGCCCGCTCCAGGAGGAAGAGGTGTGGGCGGTGCTCAGTCAGAGTGCAGAGAGCCTCCAGGAACTTTTCTACAAAGGTAAGACTGCACAGAGTCAAGAGTGCAAACAAAATGATCTTACAGTGCACAAATACTACTTGGAAACCTTTAAACAGTTTGTAGCTAAAGTTTGTCTTTTGCCAGTCTTACTAATTTCTAAGCTGAGTTGGACTATACAAAACTTTATTTTAAGTAGCTGAATAACAATTATGTGAAATTCAGTCTTATGTTTATTGTAGATTATTTTAAAAGAATATCGTTTGGCCCCTCTTCAAGGAAAGTTTTTTGTTATGGACATTTTAATGATTTTTCTTTGATTTGTATGCCAGTAAATGCCCTTGAAGGCAGAAAAAGATAGTTTTCCCATTCCAGGTTGTGTATTTACTTAAGAAAACTTAAACAGTAGGTGACCGGGAAGTTTGTCTTGGGAAATGCTGGAGTATGTGAAAACGTCAATAACCACAGTGTGCTGTACACTGTCTAAAATATTTAAGCATGGTTCCTGGTTTCATGCACTTGGTTCCATTGGTCATATTTGTCTTATCTAAGCTGCTGATTGTTGTAAATTCCCATGAAACAGTAACCTCAGTTTCACCAAGTGCATTTCTACATGAACCAGCTCAACTTCTAAATCCAGTTCTGCAGACAGTTTTGTCATACCGTAGAAAGGCTGTCTTATCGGTACACTCTTGTGAACATTCCTGTCGTGGTGAGGTCACAATTATACCACACGGAGTGTTCACAGTTATGCTATTTAAATGAAGGCATGTTAAAATAATTTCAGAAATCCAATGCAGGATGCAAAGTGTGTTTCAGTATTTGCCAATTTACATATACAGCCTTTCCTCTCCCTTTCCAGTGTGTACTGTGTAAATTGTGGCATGTGGTTTGTAGAGCTCTAGTCTGCTGAGTGAAGCTAAAATTTGAATAGCAGATGTTGGGCCCAGCTATTATGCAGCCACTGAACTATGTAAGGAAGCTTGTTTGCCACAAGAATGGGTTATTAATGAAAGTGATTCAAGCTCTAATTCTCACCAGACAATTTGTTAGATGTGCTGGTTAATGGCGAGACTCGTGAGCAGACAGAGTAGGAAAGTACAGCTAGAAGATAAAAATGAAATGTTAACATACTGCTCTGAATTTTGCACACGTGTATGTGTGTGTAAACATTAGTGCTTTACTCTGTGTCCAAGAATGATTTCTTTTAGTGATGCGTGGGTATTTCTGATTAGTCATGGGAGTTTCCCATCATGCCTCTAGTTTTTGATTAGATTGTTATCTTTCTTTTCTCATGTGTTTAAGTCTTTAATCCCTTCATATCTGTGGCAGTGACAGCTACTTTTCGCCCAAATAATTTTATCACTTAGTTGAGAGTTTGTGATTGTTGAACACCAGAAAGCCTCTTATCAAGACAAATAAAAGTGTTTCTGTCCCTGAAGTGAGTGGTTGTTTTGAGAAGAGAATGGTTGGTGAAGTTCAAACATAGCGTTTTAACTGTTGATTAAGAAACAAGTTACAGTATATCTGGGTAATATGTGTACTTTTTGATACACTTTGTGATTCTCAACAGAAGCTTTGGGTGTGATACACCTAATTACCCAGTCTAGTTTAGAGTAAGATCTCTGAATACGCTCATGATTTGGAAACAGGAAACTTATATTTACTTAGAAAATTCCAGCCTTTAAATGGTGTGTGTGTGTGTGTGTGTGTGTGTGTGTGTGTGTGTGTGTGTGTGTGTGTGTGTGTGTGTGTGTGTGTGTGTGTGTGTGTCTGTGTGTGTCTGTGTGTGTCTGTGTGTGTCTGTGTGAGTGCGTGCGTGCGTGCGTGTCGGCCTAAAATCCAGCTCCCCTCTTCTCCTCTATGCTCTTTCCTGGAGTAAAACATCATTCAAAGAAAAGAATTTTGCAGTATTGCTCAAACATTCCTTTGTATATTTTTAAAACGCTCCCTAACCGTAGTTGTGGCTTCACAGCAAAAGGGGAATTATGCTGCGTATTTCATTCCTCTGCTTCTGTGCCTCAACAGGAACAAGCAACATGTGTTTTTGTTTACTTCAGTTATCTTAAATAACCATAAACCGTGTGGTTGGACGTGTCAGAGGTTGCTGCTTCCAGGCTGTAAATGCCTTGACTGAGTTTAGGAATTGATCTTTAAAACATTGCAGTTGACTCTGTTATTCAGTTTGTGCATCAGAGGCTGAGAGCTTAAAGAGCAAGTCCCCCCGACTAGAGTCTTACTTCACTCCCACTTCCTGTTTGAAAAATGTGCTACAAGGATGCGTCGCCTGGCAGACCATGAGGGCGGAGCCGCTAACAAACACACACACACGCAGGCGCACAGCGGCATTATAACATCATATGGCACCAGCTAATATCATGGGGGTACCTCTTAGCCAATAGCAATGGCAGATTTAAATTAAAATGTAGTGCAGTTTTTACCTGAAGAGGGCACAACACTGACAGTTTTATGCAGAATATTAACATTTTAACTTCAGATGCACTAAAGTGCCAAACTTTTGACTTCACATGTCTACAGCATGATTAGACACTTGTATAGTTATATAGCAAAAAAAGTTGATTTGGGGCTGACTTGCTTTTTAACAACACCTTTAACTGTGTGTGGTAGTTTTTGTTCCTAATCAGTGTTTGGAATGGTTTGTTTCCTCCTCCAGACCCTTCAGCCATGGGCTTCATCATCTCACCTTGGTCCCTCCTGCTCATGCCTTCTGGCAACATTTCCTTTGCAGACGAATATGTCACGCAGCAGGATTTAAGAGCTTTTACAGCTCCCGAGGTCCTGGAAGGAGCACCCTTGACATCACTGTCTGACATTGAGAAGGTACATCAATATAATCATGCATGTGTTGAAAAATAAAATTAAATTGTGTATTCTAGGTGTGTTTGATCACTTTTCCTCAGTTCTGACATAATGATCTGAAGCATTTTAAGCAAATTTCCATTGCATTATTTCCTGACATGATGCTACATGCCCTAATGTCACCAGCTATTCTCCTAAACAGACAGCTTTGAACATAGTTGTTTCCTCCCAGATGATATTTATATTAGAAATATGTTTAATATTTAGCTTTTTCTGTATAATGTTTTCAAAGTAGACTCATTATAAATATTTAAAAGACAACCTAGGCTGTTTACAGCCTCTGTGCTTGGAGAATTTAGAAGCACAACCAGGGTCTGCTCAGACTATTGTTGACTTTGGGCAGCTTGAGCTCTACTGATTAAAAAACAGGATTTCACCACCACCCACCCACCCCTCAAGATATGTTAAGATGTATATTTGGCGGGGCGACGGTGGCACAGGAGTTAAGTGCTCGCCCCGTAATCGGAAGGTTGCAGGTTCGAGCCCCGCTCAGTCTGTCGCTGTCGTTGTGTCCTTGGGCAAGACACTTAACCCACGTTGCCTGCTGGTGGTGGTCGGAGGGACCGGTGGCGCCAGTGCTCGGCAGCCTCGCCTCTGTCAGTGCGCCCCAGGGCAGCTGTGGCTACATCGTAGCTCATCCCCACCAGTGTGTGAATGTGTGTGTGAATGGGTGAAAGACTGATTGTGTTGCAAAGCGCCTTGGGGGGTTCCAGGACTCTAGAAGGCGCTATATCAAATACAGGCCATTTACCATATATTTGAAATGCATAACGACCAAGTGCATTTTAAGCTGAGCTTGTCTGTGCTTGCAAACCTACACTTTAACTTTTTCAGTATCTATAGCTGAAATTGTAGGTCACCATTTGGCTCCTGCAGCGATCGCCACATCCCTTCATTTTAACTCTGCCACTGGTATAAAAGCTAAAAGCTTGCATGACAGCAAACCCTTCTCTGGCACAACCCCACAGACCTCAACACGGTTTTGTGCCGAGTCAGTTTTCCGGTCCTGGACTCGACTCTCCAGCTGAGTAATTTTAGTGTAGGAGGTATAATCGGTTTCCTTCATTATAAGGCACAGGGTAAATACATGTCAGCTGCTAGCACCAGTGTTTTTTTTACACATTTAATTTTCTGACCTAGAATTCTGAAGTTGTTTTTAATTGTCAGTGTTTAGTCTTCCAGATTTCCTGAAAGAGTTGGTGTGTCTTTAAGTTAGCTCTCAGAGATCTGTTACTAAAAGACCTTGAAGGGTATGTTGCATTCTTTGGCAAAGCCTGAATTATTCTTTCCTCCACCAAGCCCAGCATTCACAGAAACTCCTTTCTTTCCTTAGCAATGAGTGGAGAGTAATAACTAGGAAATGGAAAGTGTTTCTGGGGGCTTCTGTTGCCTTAGTGTGGAAAAGATTAATTCAGCTGTTGTTACTATGTTTGTACTTTATGAATAAAACTGCATTTGCGGTCATAATTCCTTTTAATGTTTTCATTGGGGTTTTTTTTTCATAGACTAAAATGAAAGAACTTAAGTCACGTTTTACCCTAAGAGCTGTTTCCTCTTTCACAGATGCACATGTATTCTCTGGGAATGACTTTATTCTGGGGAGCAGACTATGAGATCCCTCAAAGTCAGGTAAATTATAGTGGATAAACTTCATTTAAAGACAAATGTATTCAAATATGAAACTATTTTCACACATGGTAAAAAAGTTGTCAAATCCTATTTGATTTGTTGCTTAATATTTTCACATTTCAATTAGTTCAACACAAACGGACAGGTGCCAGAAAGTTGGATGTTCAATCTGAAATGTGATATTTCTTCTCCAGTGCTTTTTGTGATCTGACTCAATATTTGGTATACATTTTTTTTTCTGGTACAGTGAGCAGGCAAATCTGGCAGGTGTTGAATTTATTCTTCGATTAATTATACTCAGGCTGTTTAGGGTTGGTAACTGAATTAGAGACAGTACTTTACAATCAAATGTCTTATGTGCATATGTCGCATTGTGTTTTTAGGGAAGTTTTTCATTGTAAAACTTGATTTAGCTCGAGAAATCTCAACAAAAAAGTGCTACCGGTACATGTAGTTCGGAGTTTGAATGTAGATGAATCGTTTCTTCCCACATTGTCACAAAAATCACTCCAGTGCTTCGGGTACTTCCACGCAGCATGGTTGTGTTGATGAGAAAGTGCTGCCCACAGTTCAGGAACAATAAGATTCTCTCTGGTTTGCTTTTTTGTTATTGTTTTGCTCCACTGGGAGGTTTAAGCTTCATTCATCAACTCGCGGACTTTGTCCTTTATCTGATTCATGAAGAATTCTATAAATGTCCTCATAGCAACTGGAAAGATGGTTGTAAGATGCATCAAGTATTGTCTTGTTTCTTCTATATCATTTGATCAAAGATATAATGTATATAGATATATGTACTTGGATAGTCTTTAGTTTTTTGTGTCCACGTATAACAATTGAAATCACTTGTTTTCCGCTGAAGCACACATGAGAAGAATAACTTTGTCCTTTTGTTGGATGAAAGTGAAGATGTGTGCTATTAGGAGCTTGTCTTGATTCAATTTGACATTCTAGAGTAAAGATAGGAAAATAACAGCTCAAGCTGATCTTAAGCTAAGTTTTGCGTGCAATTTTTGGATATTTTCAAGTAATGAATATGAACACAGATGTAATGCACGCACACACAAACACAAAAATTACATATAAAGCTGATAAAATATCAACTTTAATGCAGCAGTAACAATTGTTAGAGGAATATCAAATATCAGTGCATACATTATGATCATCTAAAGGTCTTTTTGACATGTTTTTTTACCATTTGGAGAATTTTATTTTTGTCCTTTTTTTCTAAAAGATTTTTATTAGTGATAAAACAAGACATAAGTACAATATTATGCATGTTCTGCTCTTGTTGATGTTGCTTCCTTCTGGTTCTGTGCAGCCTATGAAGCTGGGGGAGCACCTGAACAGCCTACTCCTCAACATGTGTGATGATGTCACAGTGAGTCGAATGTCGCTGCGTACGGTGCTGGACATCTGCAGCAAACATATCCGAAACTCCAACTGTGACCCGCCCTTCTCCTACGTCAGAAAACTGGTCCGGCTGGTGCTTGGCAGCCTCTCTCAGGTATACGGTGAAATTGGGACTCCCACGTCCAACGTTGTTGGTCTGTTTCTAGATAATTACAAGAGTTATTGTCCTTAAGTGCCCTTGTAAAGGCTTATTGTAAAAAGTTAGCACAATAACTTAAAACTACGTCCAGCTATTTTCAAGATGGAAGAAAACATCTAATGAAACTGATAAAAAGGAGACTGAAACCAAAACAGTAGAGTAGGGTGTGAAAAATACCCTGCCCGAATTAATATTGCAATTAAATTCAGCTAATAAGGAAGGCTACTCATCAAAAATAATTGATTTAGCAATCAGAATTATTTTTTACATGATTTCTAATAGTTCCTGTGCGATAGATTAGGTTTATCTTACTCCACATCCCTCAGGTCAAGCCAGTCAAGCACATTGACACCAGGATCATTGAGCCAGACCTTTTGGCAGAATGAGCAGGTGTCAAATCCTGCTGGAAAAGGACATCGGTATCGACATAAAGTCAATATAAGCTTGACTCTCCCATATTCAAGTCAGAATTGTCAAAGCTCCTAAGATAAGAAGCTGAACATTTTCAAGAAACCAAAGAAGTCCAGTTGCCTTCATTCGAACCCCTTTGATTACCAAGACCTGGATGATTGAGAACCTTCACCAGCATAAAGCCGATTAGCAGAAGTAAGCATGAAGTGCTTTAAAATGTCCTGGCAGATGTCTGCATTGACTTAGGACTTCAGAAAGCACATTGGAGCAACACCAGCAGATGACATGAATGTCCACATAATCTCGGACTATGGAAACTTCACCTGGACTTTAGTCCATGTAGATTCTGTTCCTCTTCTTCTTTCTCAAGACTCTAGGACTTAAATTTCCAAATTAAATGAAAACTTTGCTTTCATCTGATTAGAGGACTAGTTTGACTGAGCAACAGTCCAATTATTTGCTTTCTTAGTCCAAGTAAGACCCTTCTGATGTTGTTTCTAGTTCAGTGCGCAACAACTGTTGATGCTCTGTCTCCAGCCTCAGGCCACTCCTTATGAAGCTCCCCCAAAGGTCTTGAACAGCTTTTTCTTGACAATCCTCTCAAAGCTGTGGTTCTCCTTGTTGCTGATGCACATTTCCATCCAATACCTTTAATTTCCACTTCACTTTCTATGAATATGATTTGGTTTAGGTGTCGTAGACCAACATATGTCAAGCCAGTAGTCTATCCCATGATTGTGTACTGACCTAGACCGAAATAGTTTTGCAGGTGTTTTAAGTTAATTAGCTGACCAAGATTTGCCATATTTAACTTTTCCCACAATATTATTAAACCACTGAATTATGGGTTTTTGTTATCTGTAAACCACAATGATAATAATGGTGGAATGAATCTACAACAAGTTTCAATTTACGAACTGAGTGACAAATAATATTGACTGTTTCATGGTATTCCAAATTTTGAGATGAACCTGTAAAGGGTAACTTACACACTGTTATAAGCACAGTAAGCCTTTGGGTCACATAACAGATAATAGTGTTTTTTGACAGAACATATCAGGGTGTATAACTAGAAATAACTTACAATTTTTGTTGTTCCTAAACGCTTTAAAACTTTTTTTTCCAGCTTGAAGGCCTGCTGACAGACAGAGAGTCTCTTCCAGAACGAAGTAAAGAGATTCGAGACAGATTGAGGGGCAAAGGCTTGCCATCTGGTAAGATAATCTACACTGACTTACTTTCTTAATAAGGAGCACTTAGAACTATATTGCTTTCTAGGGTCATAGAGAGTATAATTTTAGCATTTTGCTCTCTCCTGTACCCCTCTAAAGATTTCAACACTAAATTGTGAAATTCTACCACCTACTGTTGCCTCGCAGCACGAAGGTCGCAGGTTCAAAACTCGCCTTTCTGCGTGGAGTTGCGTGTTCTCCCCATGCATGCGTGGGTTTTCTCCGGGTACTCCGGTTTCCCCCACAGATCACAACATGCCCTATAGGTTAAAAAAAAATAATTGTAAGTCGCTTTGGGTAAAAGCGTCTGCTAAGCACATAAACATAAACATAAACCTATATAAAGAAATGTGGATCTTGGGGATGGCACACTTTGGATTGAGTTCAACATCTCTGGAAATAGTCTCAGGTGCCATGGCAAGGACCGTTTTCTAAATCTTATTGATTATTTGTTGGTGTCTCCCAGGGCTCTATGATCAGACTTTTAATTTTTGCAATGACTATCCTTGTCCCTGCTGATGATGCATTCTTAACTGTTCTATACGAGGGTGTAGATGCAGGGACATGTCTTTTAAAGGGCATAGCTTTCACAACCTTATGCAAAATATGTGTTTTTCTTTTCAAGAAGAAATCTGTGAAAATATATACTCTTTTGTGACTCTTATTCTGATGTCCTTACCAAATTCATATATACTGAATCATTGTGGTGACAAGTAAGTGAAAAGCAAAACCGGTCATTGGAAGTTACCAGTATTTGTAGATACTTACTGGAAATACTCCGGAAGACTCCCTGCTAAATTTGCACATCGTTTGCCGAAGATTTAACTAGAGGGCTGGGTGAAAGAGAGCTGTGGACATTTGTGTTCTCATTTGCCACTCCTTTTACCATTTTAAGAAAATTCCAAGAATGCACTTCAAGCTTGGGGGGAAAAAAAAGCACCTTTTCTGTATTAAAGTTGAATGTTTTTTTTTTTTCAAAGCCCTGATCAATTTGTGGTCAAAAGAAAATAAATCACTTCTTTTGTCATTTAAATAACCAATAGTTAAACCAGTGCTTTATACACATTAACTTGGTTGTAGTGAAAACTGTAAACTCCTGAGATGAATACTGTGGTGAATCTGATCATCAACTTCTATAAACATAAGGAAAGGGACATTGTCAAAGTCCCTGTGGAGTTGGAGATGTAGAAACGCATGTATTTACAGTCATTGCTTTAGGGTAAAATATGTATTTCCAACAACCAAAATTGTGTTGCTTTACTTTCAGGCAGCTGGTGAGGGTTCCTATTACCTGGGGATGTCATATGGTCAGAAACATCGAGACTTATAAATGCATTTTGCATTTGTTCTCTTTGTATTGAAAATTTTAAGCCTCAAAATAAATACTGGATGGGGTTGTGTCATGATTTATTTGGCTTCACTGTGTTCCCTCATAATTCTAAACATAGATTTTAAGCACCAAACATTAAGTGCTCTCTCCTGTACCCCATTAGTTGATGTAATAAATGCATGAACTAGTTTTTCAGCATCACTCCTGGAAAGGATGCTTCTAAGCTTAGCAATGTTCTAAAGATGGAAGAAGGAAATCCTACAAACCTGTTTAATGTTGGATTTGAATGACGTGTCCTGGTCAAAGATAACACCAAGATTTCTTACTTTGTTCTTGATTTAAAAGCAGAAAGTTTAGAGTCGTCCAATTTTTTATGTCTTCAAGACAAGTCCGTAATCTACCTAACCGATTAGGTTTATCGGGGTTAATGAATAAATATAACTGAGTATCATCAGCATAACAGTGGAAGTTTATCCCATGCTGTCTAATGATTTTACCAACTGGAAGCATATATATAGTAAAAAGAATTGGTCCAAGTACTGAACCCTGTGGTACTCCACAAGTAACCCTGGAATATGAAGAAGATTTGTCATGTACATTTACAAAATGAAATCTGTCAGACAGGTAGGATTTAAACCAGCCTAGCGCTGTTCCTTTGATCCCTACAACATGTTCAAGTCTTTCTAAAAGAACATTGTGATCAACTGTGTCAAAGGCAGCACTGAGATCTAACAAGACTAGAACAGACACAAGATTCTTATCTGAGGCCATGAGAATATCATTTGTAACTTTCACTAATGTGGTTTCAGTGCTGTGATACTCTGTAAAACCGGACTGAAATTCTTCAAACAGATCATTAGTGTTTAGATGCTCACATACTTGATTGGCCACTATTTTCTCAAGGACTTTGGATAAAATGGTTTCTTAAGTAGAGGTTTGATTACAGCAACCTTAAAATCCTGTGGTACGTATCCAATTATTGTGAGTCTATTTGTGGTTTTATCGAATTAATAGTTGTTTCTCTCTTTTTCAGGGAGGAGTGCCGCCCCCAGGGTTCTGGAGCGCTATCGAGCCAAAACACAGGAACTAATGCCTCTAAATCGTGGCCTCAGTCGTTCTATGGGCTCATTGCCAATCCAGGACTTGTTAAAGGGGGATGAGGGTGCAGGTCCACTTCTGTCTGATTATCACACAAACTCTGACTCCCCCATAGACCCCCACCCTAAACCCCCCTCACTACAGAACCAACTCTCCTACACTCACATACACCCTTTTCACCCCCAAATTAAGAGCCGCCCTGTGGAACTGGATCGTAGATCTTTATCATACTTCAGCGGGGACCGGGGACCAAGTCAGCCCAGAAAAACCTGGGCTTCCTCTGTGGATTTGGCATGCATTGACCCTGAAGCTCTTCGCTTTGGGGCTTTGGAGGATGCCCGGAGAGGCAGCAGTGCCTTAAGTACACAGTCTGTAGGCAGGCGCAAATTGCCATTGTCAACCTCAAAGGAGATGGATTACCACTTTTCTGAGTTTAGTGGGCTGCAGAATCTGAGGTCTCATCACTTCTCGGCACTGTCTGTTGGTTCAGGAGTTCCTGGTGCATATGACAGGTTCAAGGAAAGACAGAGAAAACTACGGCAAGCAGTTGATGGTGAGTAATAAAATACTACCTGAACTATAGTTTCATAATAGAGTGAGTTATGGAGCAGAAAATCTGCAATTATTATGCTGTTTAATTTGATTTTCTTTCTGGTTATCAGTTAATTTTAAAACCAATACAGTCCAAAAGAGTAATTTGTTTTTACATTTAGGCCTGCGAGCATTACATAAACTAGTGAATGTTTCTTTTTCAGTATATGCAGATTGTATTGTGAGGTTTTGCTTCATAGTGGAATTTGTATTTGTTAGCAGCAGCATGTTCAAGTGGTTCGGTGTCCTTCAACTCTTCCTAATTGTAAATGAGGTGAACCAAGGCATGTGCTGGTTTCCCAAAGTTATTTTTACTTTCCATGACTTTGAAATATAATACATTGTGTTTTTGATCCAGTTTACCTTGAAAAATAATGTAGAATTAAAAATGTAGGTAAACATTTACATTTGCTAAAGCCAAGACTGTTTGTCATGATGAATTTCTTGAAGGTACAGTTTAGAGATGGGTTATGTGTTCTATTTTTGGTGCATTGTGCTGTGGAAAAATATGTTCTAGATTGATTTAAAAATGTTCAAAAGCAACTTTAAAGTGACAGTGTGTATTTTCCCTGGCAATAGGGGGCAGTGCGTACCTAAATAATTGCAAGCAAGCAGTAGTTTTGTGTTCGAGTAAGACCTTACCAAAGGAGGGCCATTAGGGCAAAAAATCTCTGGGAGCACAACCTCCAGCAAAATAATAAACGCATCAGACTCCCTTTTGTCACTAGCAGCGAGTGAAGAGGTAAATGTGTAAAACAACAAAATTTATGAATGGCGAAAGTTTTGTAACTCTTTGTTACGAATCAGTAAATGCATTTTGTCCTCATGGGCTCCTGTAGAAGGAAACATGGCGTCTAGTATGCTGTCGCCCATAGACTTAGACCTGTTCCCATGCGTTTTAGACCCAATTTTTAAGGTTGTATGTTACGAAGCCACCAATATTTTTCAACACCCGGGCATTATTAACTAATTTTCGACTACATTTCGATGGATATTTCCAGAGATTGATAGTAAAAATTACACTCAAACTCTAAAGATATTATTTTGTTTATGATTTAGAGTTATTAGAAGTAATTGTCATTTGGGTCATTAACTCATTCACTGCCATTGACGACTAAAGTCGTCATGTTAAATCCAATCGTTCACTGCCAATGACGACTAAAGTCGTCATTTGCATTTTTTTACTATGTGGGCATCATCAGGCCTTTCTTCTCCCTGTGAAGCTAGTTTCAGATTTGAAACCCACCTCCCCTGGAAATAGGCCACTAATGCCCACTTTCTGAGTTTCGAGTATAGAGGGGTTAATTTCTTGCTGCAGTTGAGCATGTTTTAGTCTGTTGTCATTGTCATTTCACTAATAACTGTTTTAAACCTCCACCGGTGCCAGAGTGGATGGATATTCTGACAAATTACTTCTGCGTTGGGGACAAAACACCACCCATTAAAATCATGCATTCTGTCCACAAAGACGCACAGGACATGCTTTGCATGCTGTTTTGCTGTGATCTTACACTGGGTTGGTCTTGGCAGTAATTTATTTTCTTCTTTTTTGGCTACACTTACCAGTATTACATTCTTAACCCTTTAATGGTAAACTATTTAAAATATAAGGACTAATCTTTTTTTTTTACCTTCTTTGTTTATTTAGCCAGCTGAAACCTATGTGAGTCCAGAGCATTGCAGCTAAAATGCTGCTTGGAAATGACCAAATTTAAAGATCTTTAGAGACACAAAATAATTTGCAGAAAATAATCAAAACTAAAATACAAAACAAAACAAAAAAATAGAAGAAGAAAGAAATCTGCTTCAGATTGCTCAATACATTACTGCCAACACAGGGAATGGAACCAGCATTAGAACATGGCAAACAGATGAAAGGCAGATGCTTTATCCACTAGACCAGGGGTCGGGAACCTATGGCTCGTGAGCCGTCTGTGGCTCTTTTGATGACTGTATATGGCTCTCAGATAATTCACTGAAACCACAGTGTTAAACATAAAAAACTTTCTTGTGCATTTTAACATCCATCCATTTTCTACCGCACCTGTTTAAGCAACACATTTTCACTCCCAGCGTGTCAAAAACAAACGCTTGGTCAGCCACCCTCCGCGTCAAACCCCTGACTCCAAAAGTGCCCTTTTTCGTTACTTATGTACGAAAAAGGGGTTTTGAGAGGAAGGTTAAATAACGAGGATAAGGTTCGGGTGCGGTACAATGAGCTCATTTGGTGCCCCGGCTGCGGACATCCCATCGTGTCAGTTTTACGCTGCATTGGGATCTGCAGTCAGAAAAGGGAAAACCCCTTTTCGTACTTAAGTGAGGAAAAAGGGCACTTCTGGTGTCAATGAGCTAGAGGTGATGAGAAAATGTTGGTCTTATTTAAAATTGCACGCATTTAGTTGTATTCAGTGTTTAAGGGGAAAAAATAAATATATATATATATATTATACATGGCTTTCAAGGAAATACATTTCAAAATATTTGACTTTCATGGCTCTCTCAGCTAAACAGGTTCCCGACTCCTGCACTAGACCATGAAACCTGTAGAGAAGATGTTCATACATTTAATTAGAAACCATAGAAAGTGAAATATCATAAAATATGAAATATCACCTTAATGGATCTTTGAATAAATTTAACCAGAAGATTGGATCTTTTTATTGCAGGGATTGAGCAACACTTCATATCAACTCCAAGGAAGAGAGAGTCAGGTTTAAAAAGTTAAGATTTATTTCTAAACAATTTAAACAAGACTAACTTTAAACACTATGTGATGATGAACTAAGGTGGAGTAAGACTGAGAATGGTGTATGTGTGAATATGTTCAGAACCAGCAAATCCAGAGAGACTATTAGTTCTGATGGGAGTCAAATGGTGTTTCGCTCTAAGCTTTGGTTGGAGATTACAACACACATTGAGATGCCATCTGTCGGTCTACGAACCCAGCGGAAGTCCCCGTTTAGATCAGGAGGTGTCGAGGTCCAGCTTGGACCTTGTCTGGAACCGAAGCCTGTAGCAAAGCCGCAGTTGCCGACCAGTCCCGTCTTGAGATACTCCCAGGTCACGACAGTTTATTGGCATCAGCGAGACCCTGAAGGATCGTGATGGTTCAGCTTTTATTCTGAAGAAACCGTTTCAACAGATGGAACATGCAACAGATTTAATCCAGCTTGTCGTTAGGTTCTTTCTGCTTTAAGAAGAAGAAAATATCATTTCTATAGCGCCTCTCAAGATCAAAATCACGAGGCGCTTCACAAAAACAAAAACAAAAAATATAAAAAATTGTAAAAATATAAAAAAGCACTTAGAAAATGTTTAAAAGTATATTCAAAATGAGCAAGAATAAGCAATTGCGATTTAAAAGAAAAAATGTTAAGAAAGAGAGAGTGAATAGGAAAGAGGGAAATCAGTGGATCCTGAGGAAGGTGGAATAGGTGGGGAGAGCAGAATAAAGAGAGAGTGGTGAAGAAGGTCATACAAAAGCCAGCTTGAACAAGTGAGGCTTCAGCTGCTTTTTGAAGGAGACCACTGAGTCCACTGATCTCAGGCTCAGGGGGAGAGAGTTCCAGAGTCTGGGGGCCACAGCAGCAAATGAACTGTCACCTTTGGTCTTTAGCCTGGTGCTGCACAACCAGTAGGCTTTGATTACTGGACCTCAGGGACCTGCTGGGGGTGTAGGGACTAAGAAGATCACCAATGTAAGATGGTGCTTGTCCATGTAAGGCCCTATAGACCAGAACCAGGATCTTGAAATGAACCCTGAAGTTGAGTGGCAGCCAGTGAAGCTGGAGGAGAAGCGGGGTGATGTGGGAGTATTTGGAGGATATGTGGGTGTATTAAGAGTAAAGTTACGGATTGGCCACTCTGATAACTTCTCTAGAACGCTTGGAACTCAAGTTAAGATGACGTGGGGCATAGTTTTATAATTTGGATGTTTTGATTTACTGTCGAATCCAAGCCCCCACAATGCGGCTCAAAAATTGAGCCCAACCCGGAAGTACCAAAAATTGCAGTTCCACCCTGGGGGCTGGGGGCTGGTGTCAGAAGCGAGCAAATCCTCATTGACTCCCATGTTAAAAATACAAATTTCACAGCAGAAATAAACATGTTTACAGCCTGGTACCAGAACATGTTTTTGGTTTAAATTATCTAGTTTATACTCATGACAACTCTGAGGGGGTGAATTTTTTTCTCACTCTCCTGTTTAAGTGTATTAAAAGCCTAAAATTCTGTATAATTAATGAGCATCCGACCCACGTGACCACAGAGCTAGCTCCGTGGAAAGGCCTCAGTAGAGCCTCGGTCTGGCCTGGAAACTTTCCGGGATTTTGAATTTCTGTGTTTGTGTATTCTGTTTTGGATATTTTTAGTGCAATTGTTGGACAAAATGACTTGCTGTGGTATTAATTGCACTAATAGAGCGTCCAAGGAGTCTCCACTTCATTTTTTTCGGTAAGTAAAATTATATTTATGTATTTTAGGTCACTGCCGAGCTGAGCTTAGATTTTAACATGTACTGTTTAACCATAAAATTTAAATGTAATAGGGTAAACCCCAGTGCATTTAACATAATGCTGCACTTTAGAAAATGGGTTGAGATATAAAATGTTGGTGGAGCTGGGTTCCGACTATCGGCTTGTGGAGCTCTCGGGAGACTGATGTTTTCCACCCGTTTCTCCCCTCCCTGCAGCTCGGCGCATCTCTGTGTGATCGCGCCTTCTGGGGGGGGGGGGGGGGGGGGGGGGGGGGGGGTCGGACTTATGTTAAGCATAATTCTGCCCACACGAAGATGTATGAAAGACCTGGATGATGAAGCTCAATGGTTAAAGGAATCACTGAAGCCGTGTGAAGCGCTCCATCGCGCGTCTAGACGGTACCGTAGGAGGCGAGCTGCCATGGTTCGCTGCATGCTACAGCAGCGGGCTATCTAGGTGCGCACAGTGTCCCCCGGTCCCCTCCTCC